CCATCAAACTCTGGTGGTTTCGTGTTGCTGAACTTCCGGAACAGCAACGCATCACCACCCTGCGGCCTTGCAGCAGCAACAGCTGCGGTGGCCGCCGCAACAGCAGCCTCAGAAAGAGCAGCATAACGCTTGTCAAAAGTCTCAATCAGTGCGGTCTTAATAGACCCGAACATCTCTGGTATCTCTGCCCTGATGACCGCAGCCACGTCCTCATGAATGATTTGACGGATCTCCTCATCACTAGCCCCGACGCCCTCCGGCATATGACGTGTCCTCACCATGATCAACCTCTGAAATATAACATATAATAAATTAGAATCCGTTCGAGCATACTCACACTTGACAACTCATCCCTCCTTGATCCTTGGCATTCCGAAGATTCTTACTTGGACCGTACACCGCCCCGGTGCTTTCAGTAGTACGGTCCCAGTACTACTGTCCACACCGTTTCATTATACACCCCAAGTCCTCCTCTTCGAATCCCAATTTCCAAGTACTCTATCACTTTCTAACAGATCTCTCATAAGCTCCTTGCTGCTACCTATTCACTCTCAAGCATCTCATAGCAGCTCACCTCTCCCTAGGCTAAGGCATCACAAATCAGGGCACTCTAGTCCTATTAGGAATACCCAGCCTACTCTAGCAAGAAAATACAACATAACAATCTCATAAACATATAATATAAGGGTATTTTGGGAAATCACCGTTCGGGTGCTGACTGATCGTACACACGTTTCTTTTCTGAATTTCTCTAAAAATATTTTACTTTTTAGAAAATTTGGTTTTTCTTTTCAAAATATTTTCCAAATCCTCAGTTTGAGTTCAAATACTCCTGAAGGTGTACCCGAATCCCTCAAACCAAGGCTCTGATACCAACTTGTAACACCGTAAATTTCAAAACAAAATTTTCAAATTTTATAGACCATAATTCACTTAATATTCATAAAACAACCATTTTTGAAATTCAATCCAAGTAATACAAAAATCCCAAGATCTCAAAATCATAAATCCCATGCGTGTGTACTGATCAAGCCGGCGCCTTCCCACGGTCGTCACTAGTACCTGAAACAAATAACACCAAACACTGTAAGCAAAAAGCTTAGTGAGTTCCCCAAAATACCACATATAATACATATTAGCCACTCGAGGCTATAACTCTGTGGGTCCGTGCACCCAAACTCTATGAACCCTCAGGTTCTAACTCTGTAAACATGCATAACATAAATCACAAAGAATAATGCAGCACAACACATAACATATATATAGCATACAAGCACTATATCACACAACTCTAGTTACCTACTCAAGGTAAAGTATAGTGTGAAGATTCACCTCGCGTATCTCGGTAACTCGTAAGTCCCTGAAATCACTCGTGCTCGATCTCCCGATCTATAGTCCTCTTATAATACAATACATCTCTAAATAACACTTCACAACTATGGTTCACTATCCCTTAACAAGTCAACATAGGTCAACACTGGTCACTGGTCAACAGTCAACTTTGACTGGACTTGGCGAGTGCACTATAGCCACTCGGCGAGTCTATGCGCATACACCGATTTCCCTGGGATCCTCTCTTGACACGACGAGTATTCTCCTAGCTCGATGTGTTCCACCTGGCATGAGTTGTGGGGCCTCCACGACTCAACTCGCCGAATCTCAAGAACAACTCGACGAGTCCCTGCTTGACTCAGTCCACCTGTCAACCCACTCCGACTCTCCCTAGCTCACTAAGTCAATCCCTCACTCGGCAAGACCACTCGCTGAGTGGTGTTGGGCAATCTTCATGCTACTCGTTGAGTCTGTTCTTCGGACTCAGCGAGTCCATGCCATGCAACGACTCAAACTCACTCCTGAGGTCAGATCTGTTCCATACAATCATAGATCTGGCCTCCCCAATCATGATAATCACGTAAAGTCCAAACCTTGGGGCTCAAACAACAACTATTTGCTCATAAATGATGTTTTCGACCCATATCTCATAACTCTAGGCCAATACTCTCATGAACACTGATAAAGCTTAAGGAATACAGCTCTTCTGGACCTCTATGGATCTCATCTCAAGCCTTATCATGATTAGGGACGAAATGGACATCAAATCTAGCCAACAAAGGGGTCAAGAAACCCTAAACCCCCATGTTCATCATAAAAACGACAAAGGAAGCCAAGATATACCTCCAAGATGATGCTCTGAGCTCCAAAATCGTAGAATGTCCACTTCCCTTGCCTCTTCTTAGCTAGAATCTCCTTTGCCTTGCCAAACCAAGCTCCAAAGGTCAATAATGGCCTCTTTTCTCTCCCAAAACGCTCAAATCTCTTTAGGGTTTTTCTCTAGGGGTTGGTGGCCGAAAATGATGGCCAGAAGCTCCTTTAAATAGGTCTTAAACCTTGGGAATTAGGGTTTCATTACACAGCATGGACTCGCCGAGTCCACTCTTGGACTCGCCGAGTCCAGACGTGAACCCGCGTCAAGAATCGCGATCGTACTCGGCGAGTTTGAGCTCCAACTCGCCGAGTCCACTCACAATTTTCCAAAAATACACCAATAATAAATACCTGGAAATTCCGGGTTGTTACATATAAAAGCGTTTAGTTACTTCGTATTTTGTTATACGTATAATGGAAGTTTGTGTCCTATCCCACCCGTTCGGCTAACGACCCTCCACTAGTCAAGGGTGCGATGGGTAAGAGTGGATACCTAATGATGATCATTTTACAGGCCGCTTCCTTAAAACATATATAATATATTAGACTTTTAATTTTAGATCAGCTTCGTGAATGAGGCCTACTAACCGTAAGACTGACCTTTTACTTATACATATATAATATATTAGACTTTTAATTTTATATAAAGTATAAGGGTGTATTTTAAACTTTTAAAATACTAGATGGTTTAATCTATTAATAAATCATACTTTTAATTTAATTAAATCCTACTCTCTCTCTCTCTCTCCACTTGTCATTCAACCAATTTATTATTCACATAATAAATCCTACTCTCTCTCTCCACTTGTCATTCAAACAAGTTGCATGAGTGAAGGCAACCTAAAAGGACCATGCTCATAATCAAATCAAGTACATACCAAAAATAATTATGGGCTTAGACACCTAGTCCAACAGAAACACTCTGTAATTGGTTGAGCAATGCGAAAATAGGCTTGAGCTTTTCCGAGAGATGGTGACGGACACAGACAGTGAGCATTGAATCGTGAGACCTAATAAGGCCTTGCAAGAATTGATTAATCTTAGAAATACAAATTTAGTATAAATTCTTTTTGGATTCCAGGTGATCCATATGCATGGTTGCGTATTTCAGCTTGAGAGATAGAACTTTGACCATTTCAGTCTTCTGAGCTAGTTTATCCATGATCGAATTTTTAGCAGCAATATCTTTTTGAAGCTGCTTAATCTTAGACACAATTGAAGCACTCATCTCGGTGTTGTCAACCTTGATGTCAGAACGAACCTTAGAAAGAGCTTATTTTTTTGTTTTAAGAGTAGTTTCGAGACTCGTAATGACTTTCTTTGCCTCTTTAATGTTCTTATCAGCTGAGCTTCATAAATCAGCCATAAATTGTTTGACTTTAGCATGTAGTTTTTCGTCTTTTTCGGTCGTTTCAACAAGGGGTTTCTCAAATGCTCTAATAGTATTGGTTGAGGCAACATGTACCTTCACAATCTCTTTGGTTAGCATTTCCATAGTGGTCTGATGAGACTATAACATGTACTCATAATTTGTGGAAGATTTTGTAGACTTCAAAATCTTGTCCAACTTCTCATTCAAAGGTTTAAACTGTCCTTTTGTCCTTGAATCTTCGTCACTATCACTTTCTTGATGGACAGTGAATGGACTAAAAATGAAAGTCTAAAACACATCCTAATCATCCCCGTAAAGAATATCTAGATCATTATGGCATAGAGGAGAAGCGGTGGATGTGCACTACAAGAAAAGACCCTTTAACGACACGCAAACCACCACACTCAATGATTTATGTTACGCAAAAGGGAGTGATATTAAAAAAGTGTCGTCTCTTCAAAAAATTTAAGGATTTATGTCATGCATTATTGCGTGCCCTTAGATTAGTGTCTCATGTAAAAAAATAAAAACACGGAGGGCACTTTATCTAAAATGTGCGCCCTCTGTGAATGTCGCTTTATGTTTTACTCAAAACGCACGTTCTTGAACGGGGGAAATGAAATCCCCAAAAATTAAAACCCCGCCTATTCCATGTGAAAAATTAAAACCCGCTCCTCTTCGTCTTCCCCTCTCTCTCTCTCTCTCTCTCTCCCTCCCTCCCTCTAACCTAAAAAGCCAACCTGCGATTTCATAAAGATTGTTATTAAGATTTAAGAAGAAAAGAAGAAGACAAGCAAGGATAATACTACTAAATTCCACAAAATCACATGGACTAGGGATTTTTTTTCAAGAACGAAAACACTTGGTGCTCTCTGGCCTCTACAACAATCGATCGATGATCTCGCCTCACCTTGTCGGCAACATCTTTGCTCACTTCTCCTTCAACGACCTTAGGGGTATTTTCCTCCGGCGACCTCGGGCTCATGTGACCTCGTCAGAGACTACTCAAATTTCCACACCCTAGCCCGACTAAGATATGCTATGTTTATTCTCTCTTCCTAATATTTTTGCTCTTCTATTTCTTTAATCTCTCCTCTATTCATAGCTTTGATTTCGATTTTGGATCTTCTCATCTTCTCCTGTGAAAACCCTAACTGAAAAACTATGCAGGTTTCAATGGCAATTTCCTCATCATTCCACGGTCCTCACTTCTACTCTCTAAGCATCTCAGGTATGCTTTGTTCCTTCTCCCTTATTTTAATTCTTCTTGTTTGATTTCTTAGGTGCGTTAGGGTTCAGATGTTTCACCTTTTTCTAAACCAAAATTCCATTTATTCAAGATACAATCTTCCGTGCTAAATTATATTAATTCAATGACATATGTCGGTTAGGTTTTCACAAGGTGAAATTTTAGGAATCGAAGATGGGTAGTTACAGTGATAACGAAGATGAATTTTTTGACGCCCGTGAGGCGTTTGCTTCAATGTCTGACTCAGGCTCCGATTGCTCCCTAGAAGACTATTCTACCTCTGGATTCGACTATGATTATTGGGTTGGGAATCTGGAAAAGGGGTTAGTGAACCATATGATGTTGTACATCACGCTACATAGCAACTTTAAGGGAATTTAAGGTATTATACTACTTATGTACTCACAGTATGGGTTGAAACTTGTAACTTGAAAGAGTTTTCTTACAAACACACAAAAGAGATTTTTTTACATGTATACACCTCTCATTTCAAGTTGAAACAAATTTATCTATCCCCCACCCCTTCTCATCCATGCACAAATGGTTGAATAGGTACTAGAGTGTGGATTTCTAATGCAGTGTGTGGAAGAACTAACAAGAATGAAGGTCAGTTTTATAACACATGCAAATGAAGGTCAATTTTATAACATATTTTCTTTATTTCAACTTTTATGATTGATTTCATTTCATTATCTGTTAATCATTTTTTATTAATTTTCAGATATCTAATACACCATATAACAGGTCGTGAGCATATAATAGGTCTCAGGTCTCAGGCAGGTTCGTGAGCATATAACAGGTCTCAAGTAGTGGGTTGGCCAGGTCAGAATCTGCATTTTACTTTATGGAGTTGTGCTTGTTTTGTGTTTTTTTTTGAATCTCTCATTTTATACAGAGCACAACAAAAGTAGAAAAGAATCAAGCTCTGGAACACTCGATGAGTGAGAACTCGTGTGAACTATGTGCATTTGAAAAGCTGAGTTTTGAACCCCCACCTATATATTGTACACCTTGTGGTGCTCGCATCAAGAGAAATGCTATGTTCTAAGTATATATCTATATTCTAATTTCTTGTGGGGTTGTGCACTACAGTGGGTTCAATGTGACAGGTGTGAAGCGTGGCAGCATAAATATGTGCGCTATTTAATGGTCGAAGAAATGATGGGGTGCAAACAGATTATACTTGTAAAAATTGTTATATGGAAGAAGTTGAAAGAGGAGAGCAGATACCTCTACCACAGAGTTTTGTACTTGGAGCAAAAGATTTACCTCAAACCATACTTAGTGATCACATAGAGAGCATGTTGTTTTGAAAGCTGAAGTAGGAGAGACTAGAGTGCACAAGGTTATGTGGGAAAACTTATGATGAGGTGATGTTATAATCCCCCCTAAAAAAAGAAAAGACAACTCCATACCATACATTGTGAATGAACAATAAAGTATGCATCTTATATTTTCTTTATTATCAGGTTCCTTAAGCAGAAGCACTTGTTGTCAGAGTGTGGTCTCTTCTGTGGACAAGAAGTTGGAAGTCAAGCAACGATTTCTTGAGATCTTTCAAGAGGAAAATTACCCTGTGGAGTTTGGGTATAAGTCTAAGGTATTTCAAACATAATACTTTTATTGATTTGTTTATTATAGCATCTTTCCCTACATTTCTTCCTATTACAATATTATACTTTTTTTAAAATTTTTTTGTCCCCAAAAACAAACATGTCTTGAAATTTATCGTTTAAGATGATCTTAGGGCGTGTTTGGTTCATGGATTCCAATGGAATATAAAGGAATTGGATCTTGAATTCCATTACTGGAAATGGGTGCTAAGAATTGAATTCCATATTTTTTTCATTAAATGACTAAATTGTCCTCACAAACACATCTTTTTTTACTTTCTGGTTTCTTGAATAAGTTTACAAACCAATCTGAATTCCATTCTGGGACATGTTTGGTTTATGAATTCCAAATGAATCCAAAGGAATTGGAATCTCGGATTCCATCATGGGATGTGTTCAGCTGTGGTTGCTCATATAGCTTTTTATTTCATTTATTACCCAAACATGGAAACACTTCTTGGTGTATGTACTAATATTGTTATATTATTAATTTATTACTACAAAATGTTTTGTAAAAAAAATTTAATTGATTCAAAAAAATTGTCAATTTTCAGGTTATAACAACCGATGCTCGTGTAGATACTGACATCTGGCGAAAGATGGTACAGGTTGTTGTGAAGGGGCAACTACATGCTTATTATAACTGGGCTATTGCCATATCTGATAGAGCCAAACTCCATGGACGCACAAAGGAAGCTAAAGAACTATGGAAACAAGCAACAAAGAATTATGAAATAGCTGTCAAACTAAACTAGAACAGTCAACAGGTAGCTTTAAAAAAAAAAAGATAAGTAGCTCTATTTCATTTGTAAATTCTCTGCTTCTTGTTTATGACTTTGTGATGAAATTAAATTCAAACCCTTAACAACTGGGGACTTGCATTACAGGTGCTTCATTTAAAACTTTCTAATATACTCCTAAACATTTTATATGTTTTATTTATGTACATTGATTAACATCAATAATGGGTGTCAAAGGAATTAAGTGCAATTGTTCCTAGCCATGAAAAACAGACTGTAGTAAGAAGTGCAATCAGTAAGGTAAACAAATATTATAAAAACTTCACCTTTTTTCTTATAATTTTTCACCATGAATGGATTGTTATTAACCACATTTATAACCACCTATGAAGTTTCGTGCAACAATACAGTTGCAATTTGACTTCCGCAAAGCAATTTGCAACCTTGGCATTATTCTGATCAGTTAGTTTATGTAATCTTTTTCCCAATATAATAAAATCATTGTATACTATTTATGAAATTTGATATTTTTGTCATGAATAATCTTGTTTTGTTGCAGTATGGATTAGTAGAAGACACATCAAGAACTGGAGTACCAGTTGTTGGGAATGAGATTCCTTTCAATGAATTATACAGTCAATCTGCTATCTATATAGCATGGGATGGAGAAGGGGAAACATGTGTGATAGAGGTCTGTTTGTTTTTTTTTTTTTTGGGGGGCAGAAGGATATTTATGGAAATGGGAAATTATGCAGGTGACAGTGAGTGGTGCATGGAGTGAAAGTGAAACAGTAAAGATTGCACGTTTAGTGGCATCTTCTTCACTTACCAAGGCATGATGGTTAATATGTTGTTATTTGAAGGTGAAATAACTGTTTCCAATGATATAATGATGATTTTTTATGGTATGTTTTATCAGGTGGTAATTTATGGTAGGGATCCAAATTGGGGGCGGATAGCCTGTGCTGCAGGGTATGCGGAGATTTGTTTTAACTGAAATGCCCTTAGAATAGCACTTGGAGATATTCTACATATGTAAGGAGGCCAACCACTCCCATTTGATAGGTAACAGTAACACCATAGATGATACATGATACATGATAACTGAAATACTGAAAATGCGGAAGTGTTCCAGGTCAGCAGCTAGTAATTACCTGAAAGAGTCTGGTGATGCTCATGGCACTGTCAAAATTCAAATATCCATACGTAACTTTATTATTAAGTCATTCTTTCTGCATTAAATCAAAAAGAAACTTGTGTTATTTATTTGTTTATTTTGGGTGGAACGTGAACAGGGTAACTTTTTGTTTTACGACACGAATTGTTATTTGTAGTTGAACAATTCGGACGGAAGGGAACAGAGGAAAAATATGAGGACGAGGGGGATTATGAACAAAAATTGCATTCAACTTCAAATAAAAACTCGATATAATTTATACTTTTGTGTGGTACATGTTTTTTTTTTAACATCAGTCATGGATATGTTACCTGAAGTAAGACCTCTTAATCCTAAAATTTATCTGTATGAGACAAGTCTTGAGCAATTAAGAGCTGAAAGTTGTAGTAAACTCAAAGTAAAATCTTACTATTATGAAACTCTTTTGGTTAAACCTACCTTATTGACCTGTAGTTGATTACACATTAATTTAATTATGCAGGTTTTGAAGTTTTTGATGGAAAAGAATAGTGTTAATGCTCTTCATAAAAAAGTATGTTGGTATTTTAGGAAATTTGGCTAATAATTTAGTTAATTATATAAAAACTATTGAAATGTTACATTTGTCTACTATTGGAATGATTATTTGATGTATTAGATTTGTCTACTACTAGAATGATTATTTGTATGACATTAATTTTTGTGCAATGTATTGTATTTTTTGTGTATGGTATTTTATTTTCTATTATGAGACATGAAATGCAAATTTAATTTGAAAATCAGTAAATCTATAAATAATTTTTAAAAAAATTAAAATTAAAATTACGATACGTAAAAATGTGTGTCGTCTTCATTTATGACATGACCTTTCTTGATAGGGGGATTCCTTGATATGCATTGCGTGTCATAAACACGCGCGTCGTAAGGTTAGGACACGCAAATGCGTTTCATGTTCCTTTATGACAGGGCCTTCCTTGACACGCATTGGGTGTCATAACCACGCATCGTAAATGCGCGCTGTCTATCTTTATGACAAGGCCTTCCTTGATGCGCATTTGCGCGTCATCTGAGCATTTTATGACGCGCAATGAACGTCGTAAAAGGCTGTTTTTCTAGTAGTGGTGTTTGGACCGATAGTAACTCCGAAATCATATACTCCCGTATCAGATATGTTGACAGTAGACATCAGAGTACCAAAAAAAGGTTGTTGATGTTGCTGTTGAGTTGGTATAGAAGGGAGTGGAAAGTAGAACAATAATCTATGGTTGAGAAACACCCACATAAATATTGGGTAATGGTGCAATGGTTATTAGGACAGAAGTAGTGATTGGACATGGAGATGGGGTACACATTTGGAAAGAGTCAGAAAATGGCATAAATGGATGGAGAAGATACCTTCATAATGGGAGTGGAGGTACGAGGTTCTAAGGTAGCACTAGTGTCGTCAGTTTCATGGTGGATGGTATCATCCTTTTCGGAAATCCAAAATAGTCTGTGATTCTAAATCCTCCAGGACTTCTGCAGTCGGAGATATAGGTTGTCGAGCATGTTTCTTGACTTTCTTGTTAGGAGTTTTAACAACCTCAGATGAACTTGCTCTTCCATTACGCTGTTCGCCTCTTTTTGGTTTCTTGGCATCTTCTATTTCCACTATTAAATCATCAAACATAGGATGTAGACCAGAAAAAAGGTTGCCTTTTGTAGTCATTGACGATGACATTGTCTTTAGGCACTCTGGTGAGCATGACCTCCGGAATGGATCCAACAAAAGAAAATTTAGAGGAATCAGACACAATGAAGGACGATGTGTGTAGAAATGGAATAGCAACAACAACTGCATCATCTGCAAAAGGAATCTTGAAGTGTACAAGGGCTCTGTGGATAATAATGGACCAAAACTGAGCACAAGAAATGCCAGTGTTGCATGTAGAAGATGTAGTGCTCTGAATTAATTAAGTCTAGAGGATAGATCCATAATCCAAGTTGTACCGTGATAGAGACCATAAATAATAGTGTAGAAAATCTTACTCGTACTGTTAAAGCCGACAACCCTTTCAAAAAGTCACTTAAACAGTAAAGTGAACAGCCCATTCCACATAGTAGGAAGATTAGGCTTCTTGAACTTGGATAGCAATGTGATTTCTCCAAAGTCACCCATTTAGTAGAACATGTGAAACAGATCAGAATATGGAATTGAGTCCGGATCAACAAGCCCTTCAGTGGAATCAAACCCTAGAATTCTGCAGAATCGAGATTTAGTGATATAGGCCTTTCGAGAATCAACCTCATGGTTGATCACATCATCAACAAGAACATAAGTAGCAGACAAATATGCCTTTGAGAGATAGATGAGAGGAATTGATTCTGTCATGGTCAAAGCTGGAACCAGTGGCGAGAAACGTAAACACTCAATCATTGGTCATAGGGCTTCATTGCAGTGTGAGTCAGTAAGATCAAGAATCAAATTATGTATTGGTTTCACATTCAACAAAACTACAGAGGAGGATTGATTAGCAAAAGACACAGTCTCAGAAGAACCAGCCATGGAAGCAGTGGAGACGATGATGAACAGTAGAGAGAGAAAAAGAGGGTTTATCACATTGACATATTTTGAATTCTTTGATAGTGGTGAGAGAAAACTAATCGCCAAAAACCCCTTTTATACGTCATGATAGGTAAGAGAATCACACGTAGATGATTCCATATCCCAATAAAGTTGCCTTGATAGACGTGATAGTTGTAGATGTCAGGCGGCGTTGTAACTGATGTGCGTGATGTTAGGAATTGGAAAAGGCCCGCCGGAATTCGAATCTTATCCCCAAGAAAACATCGTTTGAAATTTGATCCTTTGAATGAATAAGCAATCACCACAACCTATCACTGAATTATAGTAATTAATCGGAACCAGAATAAGACTTGGAAAAATTAATAGATTTTTGTGCAAGAGTATTCCAAAGAGAATAAAATATAACAAGTTTATATTTGGGGGATTCTGTGATGTTAATTAAATATCAACATAAAACTAGTTGGATCCCTAGAAACGATCTCTTCCTTTAGAGTCAAGAGAAACTCAGAAGAGCTTGTGTGGTTTCCTGTTGAATTACGATAATCTATTTCTCAAGAAATAGTGAAAGGCCTCTGTTTATAGGATGATATGGGTGGCCAAGGCTTCAATCAAATTCCAAAACTCAACATAAGTTCGAAAATCCAAATGAAGTACTTGTTTGAACGGTGTAGCCATTAAAATAAGTAAGCTTGGAATATATTATAAGTGACTGGATAGTAGTGAAATCTCAAGAAAAATAAAAATTGGATCCTTTGGGAAGAAAAGTCTTGGGTCGAAAGCTTTTCATAAAGATGACACAAAAATAAAAAAATAAAATTGACATGTCTTGATTTTGAGGGTATCAACCAAAAGGTTATTTGCGTCAATACCATGGTGAAAAATCTAAAATATATTAATTGTTCATCGTCAATTCAAAAGTAGGTTTCAAATTTTGGGTTTCACTTAAATCGTGGTGATAATGATTTGAATATCAACAACACAAATATTTTGTAACCATAAACTTTAGTGGTAATTTCTAAGAGTCTCAAGGGTTATAATTGTGAAAGAGAATGTGATGGAGAAATTATAAGGTGGTTCCAAAAAAAGTGTACATCTGCTATAAATGAAGGACTAAGCAGTCAACTGTTAACTCAATGTGAGAAGAGTAAGGTAGCTCACTGACTTATGTGATTGGGAATAAACGATCGGAATGAAAGTTTCATTAAGGCTTGAAACATAGAGTCTCAAAGGCTTGGATCAACATGCAACGACAGGCTTCTAGGGACACTTAACTAGTGTATAGATTCGGAATGTTATACCTGTCCCATCATTCTGAATTAAGATCATGATGAATATGTATCTGAAAGCTCCTAAATAGTAAAATATTTTTGATATTTTTAATTTTCTGAAAAAGTACAAAACAGAAATAAAGAAAATATTTTTATGTTTTTTATTTTTAGAAAAAGATATAAAAACATAAATAAAGAAAATATATTTTTTTTAAGTTTTATTTTTTTAAAAGGAAATAAAACAGAAAACCATTTCAGAAACACTAATGAACAGTATCTTCTGAATCATTCGGAAGCTTGGAACAAGTCAGTACATACTCAATCTTCAAAGAATATAAAGGTTTTCCAAAACCCAGATGAACAGTGCGCTCCGAATCGTTTCAAAGCTCAGATCGTAAACATTAAAATCCAAATGATGATGAATGGTCGGAAGTGAACAGTAAAATCCAATTATGAAAGGAAATTCGGAACCGAATCAACTTATATCATTTCGAGACCTTGTAATATTCGATCGAACAAGGTTTCTGGTAAGGCCTTTGTGAAGATATTAGCCAATTGATCAGAGGATCTTACAAAATGTACTTCAACGTTTTGCATTCTCAATGTGATCCTTGATGAAATGATATCTCAGCGCAATATGTTTTATCTTCCAGTGTTGCATTGGATTTTGACATATCCGAATTGCTTTTTCTGAATCACAGTATAATAGAACCCTCTTCATATTAATCCCATAATCTCTAAGCTGACTTAGAATCCAAACAACATGTGAAGTGCACGATGCAGCAATGATATACTCTACTTTAGAAGTGGATAATCAAACGAATGTTTGATTCTTAGATTGCCAACTGA